GTGGCATGGCATGGTTCAGGTGCTGGTGGCATGGCATGGTTCAGGTGTCAGTGGCATGGCATGGTTCAGGTGCCGGTGGCACTGCCTCGTCTGTGCTGCCTCTTTCACTGTGTTGCTCAAGTGCTGAACAAGTAATCGAACAAATAACTGATGGGGTCTTTGTGCAAATCTCCTTTTCTCCCTCAAACGAGCCCCCCCCCTGCACCCTCCAAGGACCCCAAATGTCCTGCGCGGACCCTTGGGCTCTCCTGGCAGGGCAGGGCCCAGCGTGCGGGCTGTAGCGCCGAGCTGGGGACGGCTGTCGGACTAACGAGCAGCATCCGGCAGGAGCGTGTCGTATAAAACCGCGGGGACACCGGCTGGAGGTGGCGCCGGGGCCAACACAGCTGCAGGTCGGCGCTCGCAGCCCTGCCCTGGCACGCGTCCTTTGGCTCTAATAAGCTTAATGATGTGGGGGAAGCGGTAGCGGTTTTAGCCCTGTAGCTCCATTTACAGAGGTTTTGGCTGAAATGTCACAGCCATCCGTCCACACCACGGGAAACTTTGGAGGATGCTCAAGTGCTGCTAGGAGAAGGAGAGGGAGGTGGAGCTGATCTGAAACGCGTACGCTTCCCTGTCGATCCTGACACCCAGCAACGCCTGCTCGACAGAAATAGGATAATGTCCCCAGCCTCGCAGCAAGCTCTCCCCTGCCGGTTTGTCTCCACGCAGCGCCCGTCTCCGCAGCCGAGAGGCAGCCAGGACTTGGCACCTCTGCCTCCAGCGGCTGCGGGTTCCCGGGGTGCGGGTGCCCTCCTGCAGCCGGGGAGCAGCCCCTGCTGCCCCCCTCCTGGCGCAGGCGCTCCTGCGGCCCCGCTGCAGCCGGCAGCAGGAACCGGAGCGTCCTTCTGGAGATGCTTTCCAGGCAGGGTTTGATCCTGACATTTGTTGCCAGTCAGGGGAGTGCACTCGGAAAAAAAAAGAAACAGAGAAATGGAAAGTGTGTCACGGCATCGCACAGCCCTCCCCTCGCCGCGCCGGGAGAAACGGCCACGCACAGGCGGCTCCTTCCATAATTTACAGCTCCTATAATAGAGATGACATATTGAAAGCTATCTTCTATAATTACACTGAAATACATTTTTTGCTGTAGGCAAAAGTCCTGTAAGGGTCCCAGGCCTCCCGGAGCAGCTGGGAACCTGCCTCCTGAGTTTGCAGATGTCTTCTGAATTCACCCCAGATCGGGGTGAAGCCTGGCTGCTCGGAAGACACCACCAGCCCCGCGGAGCGCTGCCTGGTGCCGTGCCCCTGCAGCGTTTTGGGCCATTTCCTC